AGTATAGATTGTGTTGCCTTTGAATTTGTTAACTTTGAGACAAAATCTCGAATTATTTGGTTAATTTCATGTTTGGGCATGGATTATATGTTAGTTTGTGATTAGAAACTCAAATTTGTGTATATGGAATTGTTTGGCAAAATCATAACTTTAGGACCTTATGAATCTTGGTAGAATCCATGAATAAAAGAGGGTTTAATACACTACTGTATTTATGTTATGCAATACTCTAATTAATGGATTGGGATATGAGTTGGTCGTTATGAAAAGCAAGGTTGTGAAAATCATTCGGTGGTAGCTCAATGGTCGACTGGCGTTAAGCGATTAATCGGACTAGGCGGCGATTAATCGGGGATTAATATGGGACCCTAAATTATTTAAAAAATTATATATCCTAAAAATAAGTATTTGAAAATTTTAAATTTTGAAAATTTGAAAATTTCAGTATAATATTTTAAAATTTGAAAACTTCAAATTTTGAAAATTTAAAATTTTGATGTAATATTTGAAAATTAAAAATTTTGAATTTTAAAATTTTTCCCGCCAAGGACTACCAAGTCCAAGTTAGACCGATTTTGATCAATTTCGCCAAGCATCCTAATCCTAATTGGTTAAGGTCGTCAAGCGATTAATCGGCTGCCAAGGCCGATTTCTGCAACAATGATGAAAAGTATAATGCATATATGAGAAAAAGTTGAAAACTCGAAAAATTATGGTTGATTTTACAGTTGTTGAAGCACTTTAGGGATAATCTGATAAATTGTCATGGAAATGTAAGTTAATTCTTTTGATGGGTATAAAGAAAAAAACATTGATATCAATGTGTATTCTTGCTTATAGAGAAATTTTATGACCCGGAATTATATTTTGGGTGATAGTAAGTATTTGACAAGATTTTTGTGTGAATACATGCTTTTATATTTCATATGCATTGTACTTTAGATATTTAGGCTTAGAAACATAAATTTGATTAAATTTAAGTATATATTATTAGGATTAGCGGTCTAGTCAAAACTATACTTAGATATGGAAATTGCACTATTTGGAGCTTATGTTGATGTGGGTGTGGTTGATATATTCCTTAGGCTTTTGGATTGTATCTAAGCTAAGGAAGCAGGAATGTAACAGTTTTGGCTAATTCTATCGTGAGCCGAGTTCAGCTTTTTATGAAAACGACATGTATCTAAAAAATATTATGGAAAATATTACTAAATTTGAGCCCATTATTGTTTGTAATTTATATATTGTGATATTGTTGTTGTATTGCATTACAACATATGGAGCATAAATTCATGTGATTGTTTTATTAATAATATATTTTGAGTAAGCATAACATTATACCTTTATACCTTCGAAACAAGACATTTATAAAGGCTACTATCAGATATGTTGGTGATTTTAGTATTATAAACATATGTTGGTGTAATTATTATTAATAATAAGATAGGTCAAGCTTCATTTACTAACCAAGCTTGGAGGTGCGGGGGTGCACACTTGGTGTGATAATTATGAACTCGAGAATACAGGGGCCCGGGGGCAGCGCCCCTGGGTGCAGGGTTCCAAGGGGTTACAGCCCCTTGGCAGGGTCTAGGGTAAGTGCCCCTAGTGGGGTCCAAGGGGCTTAAGAAAGTGCTTAAGAGGTTCAATTGTTTTGATTGTTCTCTTATGAGTACACATTTTGATCCAAGTACAAAACTTATGCCAAATATTGGTGAAGCAGTTTCACAACTTGAGTATTCAAAGGTTTTGGATGTTTGATGTATGTTATGATCATCACAAGGCCTGATATTACATTTGTTGTAGGAAAGCTATGTAGGTTTATTAGCAATCCTAGTACCCATCACTGGCAAACAGTAAGGAGATTGCTGAAGTATCTAAAGAAAACCACGGATTTTGGTTTGAATTATATAGGGTTTCCTTCAGTTGTTAAAGGATATTCAAATGCTAGTTGGATCACTAATGCTGAGGACCACTCTTCTACAAGTTATTGGGTGTTTCTTCTTGGTGAAGGTGTAATTTCATGGGCTTCTAAGAAACAAATAGGCATCACAGATTCAACTATGGAATCTAAATTTGTAGCCCTTGTTGGAAAAGAATCAGAATGGTTAAGGAATTTGATCTATGAAATTCCTTTTTAGCCAAAGCCTATATCACCTATCTCAATGCACTGTGATAGTGTTGTCAGCTTGGAAAAAGCATATAATCAAGTGTATAATGGAAAGTCACGACATTTAGGTGTTAGGCACTGCATGGTACGTAAGCTCATTACTCGTGGTATTATATATGTTGAGTTTGTTAGATCTCAACAAAACTTAGTTGATCACTTGATGAAGGGGTTAGCTAGAGACTTGGTGAAGAAGTTGGTTATATGGATGGGTTTAAGGCCCACTTGATGTCTCTATGGGTGAGATACCCAATTCCCTTCTAATACAATGTTAGAAGTTGAATTCAATGTAGAAAGCTTAATTATGAAGATTGAAGCACATTTGTTTACTATATCCCAAGGTATATGCTTATAACATGTATTGTTAAAGTAGGTTGATTAAGTTCTTAATGGTTCTTTTGAAAAAGTACATTAACAGGTGCATGATATAGAAGGACTACCTATGTGAGTGTGAAGTGATGTTGTTTCATAAAGCTTGGGCTAGGCTTTTATACACTCATGAATAGATAGGACACATGGTTGTAATAGTGTCAAGTGTAAAACATTAGATATTGTTTTTAACTTATGTGTATAATATCTTCAGTTACTCAAATGAGTTGATGGGTTCAATCCTTAAGACACCCTAATTCTTGAGTATTTGACATGTATATTATACTAATGTGAAAATTCAATCTTCAAGATATTTTCATTTATGCATAAGTTTGATTTGTGTTTGCTTTTAGTTAATTGAGGATTACACTAAAACGGGGGAGGAATGTTGGTGATTTTAGTGTTATCAACATATTTTGGTGTAATTATTATTAATAATGAGATAGTTCGAGCTTCATTTACTAACCAAGCTTGGAGGTGTGGGGGTGCACACTTGGTGTTATAATTATGAACTCGAGAATACAGGGTCTGGGAGCAGCGCCTCTAGGTGCAGGGTTCCAAGGGGTTGCAGCCCCTTAGCGATAAGGTTGTAAATGAACTGAACGTTCAACGAACTGTTCGTGAACCGTTCGGCAGGAAGTTCGTTTATGTTTGTTTATTTAATAAATAAACGATCATGAACACAAATTCTTATTCGTTTAGTTAAACGAACGAATATGAACAATGGTATCGTTCGTTTAATTATGTTCATGAACGTTCGTTTATGTTGTTCGTTTAAGTTTGTTTATGTTTGTTCATATAAGTTCCTTTTATATTCGTATATGTTTAATTGTATTTGATTACATTATTATATTATATGTTCATATATGTTTGTTTATCTTTGTTCGTTTATGTTCATTTAGCATGTTCACGAACATAAACGAACAAATATGAACAATGTAATTTGTTAAACAAATGAACATGAACAAAAAAAAAAGTCGTTCGTTTAACCGTTCGTGTTCGTTCATTTGTTAGGTTAACTTAAACGATCGATCATGAACAAGCCTTGTTCGTGTTCGTTTACAGCCCTACTTAGCGAGGTCTATGGGCGGCGCCCCTGTCGGTGGTTCCAGTAACTCTCCTGATGACATCTCCAAGGGGCAGTGCCCCGAAACCTAAACGGATTTTACATCAGCTCCATGCAATTTTTCGTCAAAACTCTCATGATGACATCTTGATGATGTAAGCGTTAGTTATGTCTAATACCTACCGGTTTTGGCACGAAATCTGGAGACAACCGCCATAACTTCTTTTCCCTCTAGTATAAGAATCTTTCTCATGTTGCAGAAAAAAGGGTTGGAACTCAGATACACAAAAAGTATCTTTTGTTCTCTCTATCTCTACAGAACACAAAATAACAATGTATATTTCTGTGTTTTGATTTTGGAAGTGGCCTAATTTTCAAAGTTGCATTTATTGGATTATCCCAAATCGGATTTCGTGATACCCAGACATAAAGGTCGAAATCACAGATTTTAATGTGAAACTTGTTGATGAAGGCAAATAGTCAACATGAGATTTTTCCTCTAATCCAATGTTTTAACACTTGGGTTGACCCAGCCGATTCAACCAATTGGACCGTGACCCGTGGTAGAAGACGAATCAATTGAGAACGGTTTTTTATAAAAATAGGGACCAAATCGAACCAGCCAGGTTTCCCCTAAACCACGGTCCGGCCGCTTATGTTGAACCGGTTAAAACCGGATTAACCCGTTTTAATAGGGCTTTGATAGTTTGATACAAGTAACGAACGCCAAAACAACGAGCCGTTTGCGGTTTCTTCAATGTTTTTCAATATTTAAACTTTGTGGACATCAAATTATTTGTTTTATATGTTTATGCATTATACAGAAAAGTAAAAATATATAAAAATATAAAAATTAAAAAAAAAAATTAAAAAAAAAAAAAAAAACCTGGTTGACTAGACAGTTCAACCGGTTAAAAACCCGAATTTTAAAACATTGCTCTAATCATAGATATGTGATATCAGTTGGCCGGCCACTTTGATGAATTGAGTAATATTTGAGTGTGTGGTCACACTCATATGATATTGACATAATGTTCAATTAAGTCTTATAATCTTATTCATATTCACATATCAAGAAACCAATATTGAACCGAATGATTTAATCCATATCAAATGTTTAATGATACTGGAACAAAAAGTCATTTACCATTAAATAGTTGATGAAAGTTGTGGTGATAAACACTCATGTATAGCTGGGGAAGGGGGTGTTGCTACACACTTAACACTATCTATAGATGCATAATATGTTGATAAAAGGAAGGAAAACACTTTACAAGTGCACCTTTTGTTAGCATATTATAAAGTGGATTGTTATTTTCTAAAGAAAAACATTTCGGTTTGTCTTATTTTCCTCATTAAGTGATGAATTGTATAAATAATGTTTGTCTGAAGTATGTGTTGTATAAACAAAGGCTGGTTTTTTCCACCAAACGATAAAATGACCATTTTACCCTTTTGTCTTAAAACAAATATATAAATAAACAAGCGACGTTTATTAGAGAACCGTTATGAACTGAAACTGCAAATAAGATCTAAATGGGTTTCAAAGGAAATACAAAAAGAAGAAATAGGTTTCAGACTGAAAATATGGTCTTAATGGATAAAACAAGCCTAGTGAAATCGAAATCAATTATAAACCATGTATTTAGGAGTAGCACTAAACTTCTGATACCCTTTAATCACCTTATTAACTGCATCAAGAAAATCCTTCTCTGTCACCGTCTTCCTCCTTGCTCTAATCGCATACATTCCAGCCTCTGTACACACACTCCTGATATCCGCACCTGCACATTCATTCATTCATTCATTCATATCCCCACCCAAAATCTAACAACGGAATCAGGAAAAAGGAATGGAATAGCTGATTCCATCGTCCATACCAGTAGAATTCGGGCAAAGGCGAGCCAAAAGTTCAAACCGAACATCTCTTTCACAGTTCATTGTCCGTGTATGAATCTTGAATATCTGTGTCCTACTTTCCATATCCGGAAGTCCAAACTCCACTTTCCTATCCAATCTTCCAGGTCTTAACAATGCAGGGTCCAATGTATCTGGTCTGCAATTATCACCAAATTCAATCACAATGGGTCCCATGTCATATATAAAAAGTGTCTCAAGTATCAAAAAAACATACCTATTTGTGGCCATTAGAACTTTGATGTTACCACGTGCATCAAATCCATCAAGTTGGTTGACAATTTCAAGCATGGTTCTTTGAACCTCATTATCACCACCAGCCCCATCATCAAACCGGGCCCCACCAATTGCATCAACTTCATCAAAGAAAACAATGCATGCTTTCTTTGAGCGTGCCATTTGGAAGAGCTCACGAACCATGCGGGCCCCTTCACCAACATACTTTTGAACAAGTTCACTTCCAATGACACGGATAAAACACGCATCAGTTCGATTGGCAACTGCTCTTGCTAAAAGGGTTTTACCAGTGCCAGGTGGACCATAACAGAGGACACCTTTTGGGGGGTCGATTCCAAGCTGGACAAATTTCTCAGGGTGGAGCATTGGTAGCTCAACCACCTATAATACATTCATAATAGAAAACAAATTATGTATTTAGTTTTGATTATGGCAAATTTGCAATTTACAAACCTCTCTCATCTTTTCAATTTGTTCTTTGCATCCACCAACATCGTTATATGTGACATCTGGCTTTTCCTCCACTGTCATCATGGTCACACTTGGATCAATCTTGGGAGGTAATGGAATCTGAATCTGATATTTGTTGCGATCAACGCTGCAATTTAACAAGGAAAAAAAATGAATTTTTGGATTTGGGAAACTGTTAAAATGGTGGAGAGATAATAAGGATTACCCAACACGCATGCCTTCTTCAATATCAGTAGGTGAAACTTTGTCACCTAACCCGACAACAAACTGAGAATTTATAGAAAGGAATATATATCAGATGAATTCACGATACAGATAGAGATGAAAGATTAGGAATGTGTGACATGTGTACCTTTGCGATTTGCTTGACATTTATAACGTATTTTGCGTCTTCTGTGTTTGGATTGATTATCTTTGTGCATCTAGCCACCTGCTTGCAACAACGAGACAGCATTCTTAAAGGAAAAACATCAAAGAAAAAAAGATAAAAAAAGGAACTTTTCTTGATGAATTTGAACCTGAAGTGGTTGCTCCTCTTGCATCATTTGTTTATCAGAAACAAGATCCCATTGGCTAGGTGTGGCTAAACCAGTGTCAGACTCCTTGATACCTATCATAGTTGATGAGGAAAACTATAGCTTAGGAACAAAATGGACATCATCTTTGAATAAACATATGTGAGGTATCATCTACATTATGAAATGGAGCTCATCTAAGTAAAAACTATCACAAAAGACATACCACATAAATCATTGATCCTTTTGGCCATTTCCTTTACATCCTTTTCAGCTTTCTTGATGCTGTTGGAATAAGGTCCCAGCCCCTGCATGAATTTCCTGATGTTAGTTTTTTATGGAGAAGGAATACTCTTGACAGTTTCATAAAAACAGACAGTATCAATCAAAATTTATTCTATCAATCTATAATGAACAACAACATTTGTGTCAGCCTTCATGGCTTCAAAAAGAGGCATAGATGCAGAAAACTAGTTGCAAAAGCCTTCTTTAGGGGATGTTTGTTAAACCTTATGAGCAAGTGATGCCTGGATAGAGGATATGTCCGCAATAAGTAGCTAACAGGAATAAGTCCACCTTGGTACTAAATATGTGTATTTTCTTTTCTTTTTTTCTTGGAAATTGCAGAAGTAAGATCAGATTGCAGCAACTAACCAAAGAACCAATCCATAATTTATCTTCGGGATGTGAGGAACAATGATTAAATCTTAAATTCAATAACTCTTTCCATTGATTCTCATAGAATATCATTATAATAAAGTTGAAAACAGAAGAATCAATTTGCTTCACCACTACACCAAGGAAGAAACTGCTAAGCTCTAATTTCATAGCCGCAGCATTTCATCAAGGATGTAATTTTGCACACAATAAATAAATGATGACTATTTAGCAAGAAAATTGAAGGACACAGAAAAGAAAATGTCCCGTTAGGCGAAGGAAGAATTATTAGGGCTTTTGCTAAAAAAAACATATTTCTTACATAAGTCTTGAGGAGAGCTATATCGTCTTCATCGAGAGGGCGTAGATTCTTCTCATCCTTGATCTCGTCTTCAATGTCAGTCGGCATCTTTTCTTTTTCTTCTCGCCGGAGAGGAAGGAAATCTCCGAGACAAGCGGTTTCTTGAGAAGCAAATAAAAGAGAAATAGAGGGGGTTCTAGGGCATATCTTACAATGTTGAAATATATCAATTTTCTTTTACAAACTTCTTTTTTGTTTGTTTAGAAGAATATTTTTTATATTTTAGAAAAGTCAAATATACTTTTTAAATTATATAGCCCAAACTCCAAAGTTGAAAACCAATAAAAACTATTGTAGATGTAGGTTGATTTTTTTTAACCACCAAAAAAAATTATTATGTTTTAATCATTGGAATTATGATATTTTTGTAAAGGGTGTTCCTAATAAGATACTATTTAAACATTTTATTGATATTTTTTAAAAAAATCAATTAATAATTAACTGTTTATAATCAGTTTTTTTAAAAAACAATGTAAATTCAGGCAATAAAAATATTTAAAAAATTAATTAGGATGTTTATATTGCAATATAAGATGTTTTTTCAATCAACCCTTTTTATAAAACCCACTACATAAAACATTGAGAATTATGAAAATTATTATAACTTTAAATTTGTTCGGTTTAATAACTCGGAAATTGTGTTTGTATAATTTAATCATTATAATTTAAATTTTATATTTCAAAAGCAACTCCAACATTTTTCATATTGTTTTTTGCTATTAGTTACCAAGAGGCAAGAAACACTTCAGTATTAAAAAAAACATGAAATTTAGTTAAATAGAAAAAAAAATTAAATCGATATTTAAACCAAAAAAAAAAATCGAACAACATTGGTATTATAGAATTTGACTTTATAGATAAATCAATCTTGCAATTTTACGAGGCATCGAAGTAGTTTCAAATAACTTCTACTGAATAGACTTAGCAAACAACTTATATTGTTATTTCTAAATCAAAATTTAATAAAAGTTTTACATAAACATATTGGGTAAACAAATAATAATCTGTGTCGCAACCTCTTTTTGGATGGTAAAATTAATTTTTTTAAAAACATCCATAGATTTTATGGTCTTAACATTATTATGCATGACCTGTTGGACTTTATATAAGAGTTAAACAATATATGGCACAAGAAAACTGAAAGTATCAAATGCAAAATGTAGAAAAGTGCATTGATTTCTCATGCATGTTTTTCCATTATTTTGTATGATACAGCTTACCCCACAATGAAAACTCCACTTTCCAAGCCTACAAGAGAAAAAACTCACGTTCGATCCACACATGCATGTTTCTCTCCAACTCATCCAAAAACTAAAACATCAGCAGGTCTAAAGGTCCGTTTGATAGTTATTGTTTGGGAAAAGTTTACTAACTGGAAAAGAAACCATATTGTTTGATTGTACATCTGACTGACTGTACTGAATAATGAAAAATAAGCATTCAACCAGAAATATATGGTTTTGAAATTTTCTGGGAAATACATATCTTACCGGGAAATATCCATTTTTTATGCAAATCGAACAGTCTTTCTGGCTCATTAAGCCGGAAAGATTTGGTTGAACCTGGAAAAATATCTATCAAACAAGACCTAAGTGTTAATCTTCTTTCCAATAGCTATCTCTTTCTTGGCAGAAACTTCGGCACGCCTAAATACATCAAAAAGAACATCTCTAACCAGATCGTGTCGGTACTTAAAACCCAAGAGCTCTCTGCAATGAACTGCATGCTGCCCAAAAAGAACATCTCTAACCAGATCGTGTCGGTACTTAAAACCCAAGAGCTCTCTACAATGAACTGCATGTTGCCCAAAAAAATCCAGACATGCCTTGCAACAAAAAGGACATGTCACATCAACAGAAAATAAATGGATCATAAGGTGATACAAAATAATTAACTTGTTATTGGAAGCCTTATGTTGCATGAACATTAAAATATATATAATTTACTGAACCAAACCAAATTGATCAACTTTGATGCAATTTCGTTGTTCAAATAATTTTCTGCCTATAAAAATCAATTCAATAATAAATATTTCAACAAAACATACTTCACCAAATTAAAAGTAACCATTATCCATCTAATTTTCTATAAAATAACCTAATAATATATAAAACTTAATGAAAATGTAATTTAATTTGTTAGTTTTCAAATAATGAGAACTGTTTATAATCCTTGGAATGTAACAAACAAAACAATATAGATCAGATAAAATCCCTGTCTATTTCAATACATTGTTGAACAAATCAAAATTTTGCATGAATTTCCATTTTTCCTAATAGTTTTTCTGTTGCTGGTATTTAAGCACATCCGATGTCTCCAAATCAAAGACCTTGCAGATGTCTTTTAATCTGCACTTGCTGACATCATCTCCATCTCCAACAAGTCTTTCAAGCTCCTCAGATGCTTCCATTACCTGTATACACAACAAACATTCATATCAAAACCAAAAAATATATAAAACATTAAACTAAAAAATATATATACACAATTCAGAGATATAATTTACCAATGGAGGATCAGAGGAATCTGAGCTTTTTTCCTCTGAATCATTCTCATGGTGTATCTTTGAGGAATCTGATACCAGCTGAAGAAGCTTCTCACTTCCCTGAAAAAAAAAATATGAGTGAATTCATCACAATATAAATTCATAAAAACATATAATAAAATCAACTATTGACATAATTTCAGAAGGTTAACCTACCTTTAGGGCCCTCCAGTGGGAATAGGTACGAAATAATATCCAAAAGAAGGGTACATTTGGCAAAGGTAAAACCTAAAAAAATCAAAAAAAAATTATATTATATTAATGTTTCAGAAAGAGCATTTATAAATAGTTATAAATTTTTCAGATACATACTGCAAAAGCAGAGGTAACTGGTAGCAGTGTGACTGAACCATAAAAATAATTCTTGTGAACAATACTCCCCCTGCATATCAGAAAGTTCAACATCATAATTCATAATATAATCTTTAAAAAATAAAAACTTGACAAATTAAAATGTTAATTAGACAGGAGTGAGTACCTCATTGCAATATGCCTTAATCTTCGACGAACAAGTCTTGCATTTAAGCTTCAATTTTAAAATAAAAATAAAAGAGACTCAGTAATTAGCACTATTACAAGGTTGAAAAACTTGCGTAATAAATGTTTATTTTTTCTGATGATTAAAAAGGAGGAGTGAATGAGAGGAGAATTATGATGTTACTTGTTAACCCTGAGATTGCATTTTATGAAATGTGAGCTAATTCCATATTAACTTCAACATCCTCTTCTGCTAAGTGCTAAGTGATATAATTATGGTTTCTCTCCCTTACAAACATGTCATCTTTCAATTTTCTCATCACAGAAGAAACTATTGTTATCAGTATCATTCCCATTACCAACTATTTTGGTGATTTGCATACTTAACACCTCTAATATTAGCCTCAGCCTTCTGTTTGTAGTTTTCAGCATCACCTCTAATGAATAATAAGGAAAAAGAAGAGAAAATAAATGAGAGGAAAAAGATGTGGGTATTATATTTGTCCTATACGTGAACTGGATTGACACTTGGGCCTAGATCACTGATATCAGCATTTGGGCTTAATACTTAGGTCGTATTAAACAAATCCCACATCTACCATATTAAGTTCATAGTTTTGATTCACAAGATAATGACACGCAAAATAAAGACACCAAAACAAACCTTGATGGGAAGACAACCTCCACACCAGTTAACTGCTTGGGAATGGATTTCAAAAAGATCTCAGACGGCTTAACACGCGACAAGAGGCTTAATCCCACGCTACACATCAGAATCAAGAAAAAGGAAAAAAGCACAATCAATCTTTGAAAGGGAACGGGTATCAGATGATAACGTTAACATGACATATTGACATAAGATCACAGTTGTTATACCCATGAATCTTGTTCTTGAAACTTCCGGGAGGCGCCTTCTCCAGACCAGACCAAGCTTTGTTCATCTACATAGTGCACAAAAGTTGAAGAAACTATGAAGATCAAATAAGAAATTATGAATGAAAGAAAGAAGAGAATGGGAATACCTTATTAGCTACAAAATCAACACAGAGCTCAACATTAGCGGCAGTGGCTTTCGGAGACGACGAAGAAACTTTTTTCCATAGTTGTTTGAATGTAGTCGGAGATTGTGAAGATTGAGATTCTGAGGTTGAACGGTCAATCGATCTGATAAAGCACCAATTCCTTCCTTTGATTGGAAACACTAATAATCTTGCTCTCATATTTGATCCTTCAGTATTCTAGACCATGAAACAGTTAAACGGCGAATGTAGAAATTGGGTTATGACTTATGAGAATGGTAGGGTGAAATCGAAGAAACTGTATCTATTTAAGGGTGTGGTGATTATAGTAAATGGGTTCGGTAAAGGTGTAAATGGGATGCCAGGAAGAAGGAGATGAGCAGTTAAATGGTGGTGGTTGTTTCAGTGGGCAGAGTCTGAAATCAGGGAGCGTCGAGGGATGTATAGAGATGGGCAGAGCGTTGAAAGAGCGGCGTTTTTGGTGGTATTTTGTGCATAGCGGAGCGGTGACTGGAATATTTCAACGACCACCCCCTTTTGGATTTACATTTGGCCGCCTTCATCAATTGAAAGATGACAGTCAGCACCCAATCATCAGTTGAGAATGACACATGATCACATTTTATAAAGTATCACCAAATTACTTTGAGTGAATTATAGAAATGGTCCCTGTGATTGGCACGATTCAACAGTTTTAGTCCTATTTTTTTATTTTATCAAAATTGCTCCCTATTGTTGATTTCGATACACATTTTGTCCATGTCTCTGTAACACGTTGTTACTGTTCCATTGGACCTATTAGCTAACACCACGTGTCCCTCACGTGAGAAGCATTTTAGTCATTTTACTATTTTCCAAAACAACGAACACGACCTCTCAGCACCACCACCATGCATCACCTATTTAGAGTAGTTTTTGGCAACCTCCATCACCCACCACCCTTATCCTCCTTCATCTTTTTCGGAAACCACCCTATCGTTAAATTTCGGCAAGAGTTTTTCTTTCTT